GATCTCTTTTGCATGCTCTTATTTTTTTTTAATGAAAATATCAAAATTAATACAACAGATGCTAGACCAACAGTGTGGAACATAAGAAAAGGCGATGAGAAATAATATTAGCTGAAATATATGTATTTCATGATACAGAGAATACGTGTTATACGCCTCTTCTGAATATAAAAAAATGAAAGTGAAATAATTACAGATCTTATTGATAGAAGATTTTAGAAGAAGTTCATAGCAACATGTGGAAAATAGGATCCTACAAGAAATTACAAAATAACCCTTAAGACAACACCTATTAAAAAGACAGAAGAATGAGTGAGACATACTGGATGATAGGTTCAAGTGGTGACTATGAAGAGTATGACCTTCAGATGAACATACTGCCTCCATCTTCAGGGTTGAAGATTAAGTCAAGCACAAAACCAGGTGTTAAGCTAAGCGCTGTCTGCATATGGCGTGTTCATAGTCAAGAATCCCAAAAGATGAGGCTGTCTCCTAACTAAAGGCATTATAACGCAGAAGACTGTACTCTTCATGAGTGATAGAAATTAATATTCTGAACTGAATATTTTAGTATTAATCATGCAACTTACTGCTTCATCATTCAATTGCAGATTGTCTTGCTGCACTGAAATGTAATCATCACTACTGCCAGGCGTTGTTTGTGTTGTAGGTTCAAATTCATTCTGCCAGTGTTCATAACCTCTGTGTTCACTTGAAGATGAACTACTTGGCCATGGTGATGGATTGAACTCAGAATTGAAGACAAGAGGTGCATCATTTGACTTCAACGCATTTCCTTCATTAGCAGCAATATCAGTTGTATCAGAACCACTGTCTGCCACAACAAAAGTCCCCGTTTTTGTAGTGTTAGCTTGATCTATTGCTTCAACTTTGTGGTCCATTTTCAAGGAGAAAAAATCACCCTCACCATCCGATTCTTCTTCTGAATCTGCGTAACTTATTAAAGATGGTGATGTATTTTTAACTGAGTCATCAATTTCAGATTTCAGTGTGGAAGAAGCAGACATGATGCTTGGTGTTTTCTTTGTCAAAACATGGGGTACCAATTGCCGCTTTGTTTCCTTTATAGACAGATGTTTTGGAGCAGGAAGTAGTGAAAACAGACTGGGAACTTTCTGTAACAGAGAAAATGTTACATACAGGCATGCTAATGATATTAAAAAAATATACAGAATCGATAAATTTGTAAAAAGTTCTGAGTTCAGTGGAGAAATAGAAAACATTAGATAGGAACCTCACATTTTAGGCAGTCATTGTCACGTACTATTGTCAGAGTGATTAACTCAATGATAATGGGTGGGACATATTTATAACATGAAAGCATATAACATTTTTGTAGGCAAATATTATAAATGAAAGTGGATTTAGTAAACTATATTGAGTTAACTCAGAGTAGGGTCCTGAGGTTGGCTTTCTTGATTATGGTGGCATCTTGAGTTTCCATAATAACCAGAATTTTCTTTATCAGATGAATAACTTTGCTCAAGGAGGATTGTGTATCATGGAGTTACATATAACAGAACCACATCGTGTAAAAAAAGAAGTAAATAATATAGATGACTTATTCTTCAAGGTTCAGTTGAAAGCAAAAAGAGTGAATGTGACTGATGATGGAATGTTTGGTGACAATACAACACAGTATAAGTCCATATTATGAACATAAGGATTCTGTATTCCAATCAAAAGCAATTAATTTAAAATAATGTGGCATGTAGATCCGTTACTAGAAAATGCCTGCAACACACGCGGTCAACAGTATAGGAACAGCATTTTCTATGTCCACAGACAGGCTGCTGCTATGCAACACACGCACTGTGACATCACACAACAGTACGTAGCAGTCACCTGATATGTTTCGTGTGCCTGTGGTGACGTCACATAACAGTAGTGGGTAGCAATCACGTGACATTTGTTTATGATGATGTGTTGTCTGTCCCTTGGTTATATGAGTGAGTGTCATAGTTGAGTTAGTTCTTGGAGTGAGCTTTTGGAATTAGTTACAAGCAACAAGAGAGAAATAGCAGCAGCAGAAGCAAGCACATCGGAACCAGGACTACAGAAGAATTCAGGAGGTCAGCCTGTGAGAACGTAAAGTGTGATTAGTAGATTTTATGTGTAATATTTTTAGTGATAGTTTCTATGTTGAGATCTGTTGCTAGGGGATGACTAGTAGAAGACAGAGAATCCTAGTGCATATGCTATGGTGAACTGGAAAGTGTGTATCAGCAGTAGCGTTGCACTGCCTGTATTTAAGCATACCATCCTACATGTGACATTTTGGTGTCAGAAGTGACAATAACATACAATGATATATCAGCATCTTTATTTTTTCTTTTTGCATGTGCAAGAGCAGTGGATTTTCTTCATTACATCTGCTGGGCCATATCCTACAATGTATGGTACATTTTCCAATGCAGTCTCAATCTTTTTATGTATACATCATCCATCATAAAATAAAACAATAGGTTTCTCTGGCTTTTTTTTTATTGCTAGTGGGGTGGGACTGAGTCCCTTGTACTGCGGCCACTTCTGGCCTATTGTACCAGCCCCAGATGATAGGTGAGGGTAATTGTGGAGCAATTGGTGGAATGAAGATTGGCAGGGGAAACCGAAGTACTCGGAGAAAACCTGTCCCAGTGCCACTTTGTCCACCACAAATCCCACTTGACCAGACTCGTGATCGAACCCGGACCGCCGCGGTGGGAAGCCAGCAACTAACCGCTTGAGCTATGGCGCGTACAGCGTTAAATGATTCGATGGCATTGAACAATGGATATGACAGGGTGTGCAATAAAGTGGTTCGGTTCCAGTTTAAGATTCTCTGCATGAACTGTCTTCACTCGCTCGGACGCT